GAGAAGGTCGACAACTTTGTTGAAAGGTTTTCTCCTTTTGTTTTGAAGTACGAATTCACTCAAGGTCAAAGTGGCTTAGTAACCACATTAAAACCTATTGTCGAACATTGGTCTTACCCTCAGTTCGCAAAGGCAGTCCTTGACAACTACAATGAGTTCTTCTCGGAAGTCAAATCCAAAGTGAAGGTTTACTATGAGAACATTGACGCACTCATGACGAACGAAGAAGGGTACAACAAACTCATTGAAATGGGCATGGTCGGTGAGAAGATGGGTCAATTCAAATTGGACAAAATTTTCACCGAAGTTCATTTCCTCTCCAAGCGTAAGTACTGGGGTGTTAAAGAAGATGGTGAAATAGTTAAACATTGCATGAAATAAAAAATTTTTATTCGAATTTGAATTTAAATGTGGGAATTTTGGGAACGTGAAAGGCTTATTTACTTGAGGAACAGGTAAAGGTGGTGGAGGTGGAGGTGGTGGCAACCAGTCCATTTTATATTCCTTCCTAGCTAATTTCCGTTTAATTTCATGGTCGCCCTCGGAGTCTTTGAATCGGACAGGTCGAGTTACACCATTCTTGGTCTCAAACTCATATATAACCTGTTTGTCTGTATTTTCGTCGACTATGGCACGAGACACGAACATTGACCAAACGGACAAAAAGTGTCATTTCGGATGGTCAAGCAGCCAATCGCATTCGAGCACCTCGAAGAAGCCTTACGTTCCAAGGGAGAGGGTGTCTGGTGCAAGGGAGAGGTCATGAGACTCTACGAGCAGTACATCCTCAATGCTTGGGAGGACAAATCGTCCTTGGATTGGCAATTCTACCAACTCCTCTGGGACGACCTCCTACGCAACTGGGATAACGAAAGAGCCCAATTCAGAGGTCGGGAGCTAATTGTCCAAATTACCCTTAATTTAACCTACTTAATGAACTAAACACCTAAATTTACTCGGGGTTTCCCCCTAAAATAAAATTTTTTTACTCTTAGAACCACTCGAGGTTCTCCTTACGGTTGTTGAGCTTGTCACCGTCAATGTGTCTGACCCTCGTCTTCTTGTCTGGATTTGGAACCCATTGCATACCGACAAGCCTTCCCATGGAAATTGAACCGTAATTTCGAAGGGTAAGGTTCAAGTGTCCCAAGTTGTTGAGGACTGGGGTAAGAACCTTGCCGGTCTCCTTGTTGCGGATTTTGTATGGGTAGGGTTGGGAAATTTCATAAGCGTCATCGGCAACAAGGGTTGCCCAAACTTCCTCTTCTTTGTGTTTCTCTTCTTCCTCTTCTTCCTCTTCTTCCTCTTCTTCCTCGAAAATTCCTTCTTGAATTTGGTACTCACGAATTACGGTGTTGGAGGTTCTGTCCTTTCCGAGTGCCGCCCAGATGGTGTCAATCTCTTCGAAGAAACGGTAGATGAGTTGGGCAAGGTTTTGGTTCTCTATGTTGTATTGGCGCAAGGTTTCCGCGAAATCGTTCAGGACTTTCTTATTGGAAGCTTGGTTCGTGAGGACTTCGACTTTGAGATTGGTTATCTCTTCCATAAGACTACTTTGGAGAGTCTTAATGGTGTTTGACAGATGAGCGTTCAATTGGGCAATTTGAATTTGAACTGGGCGCTTGTCTGACAACCTTGAAAGGACATCTGCCATTGAGTTTGGCTTCGGTGCTTGTTCGGACATCGAAAAAATGAAGTGGTTTGAGAATGACGGTTTTACTTCAAAAAGCTTGTTATGACGGTTAAGTCATACAACAAGTTTAAAATAATATCTTGTTCTTCTTCTGAACGTTTGTTGTCTCTTCCGATAAAAGTTTGGAACATGAGAACCAAAAAACGTTTTTTGAGATTGTGAAGAGTTCAGGCAAACGTTCATATTCCGGATATGTTGGGAGCAGTTCGAAACATCTGAGCTGACTTTCGGACAAAATTGGGACAATGTCAAAAATTCATCTTTGGTCGGACTGCTTGAAGGTAAGTCCCTTACATGTAAGTAGCTCTGGTAAAGTCTTCTCATTTCTGCTAACTTTTGGAGTATAGCTTCGTAGTTTAGAAGTTTTAATTTTAATTGTCTTATTCCACTCTTGACATCTAAACGGTAACTATCCATGAGGTCAAGAGTAGCTTTGGTAGCTTTAAGTGGAGCTATCTGTTCCTTGACTCCTGCAATTTTGGTTGCAATTGTGATTTGAGCTCCTTCAAGTTCGCCGTCTATGTCGTTCTCAACGTCTTCAACCATAGCTTGAAACTCTTCATCGGTCCATTGAGATTGGTGTGGGACGAATTTAACTTGCTTCATTCAAAAAATGTTTTTACTCAAAGCGTGCCATGTATATGGCTATAAGAAACTTACCAGAAGGCTTCTTCTTCACATGCGTAAAAACATAAAAAAAGTGAAGTTAAAATGAGATGTTTACTGAACTGGCTGAAGAACTGGCTGAATGTCGCCTTCACAGGTTATGTAGAACGGCTGACCCGAGAAGTGAAGGAGAGACTGAATTGCCAATTTCATATGGGGTAGGGGGTTCTCCTTGTTTGGTATTTTTATCCAAGGACGTTTGTTTAGGAACTTAACAAGAGTTCTCTTTTGGCGTCCTTTATGCCATCGTAGGCTGTCCCGTCTGGTATTTGAATTGGAATTCCAGTCGAAGTCTCGAGCTGAAGTGTAGACCTTCCAGAAATACTGGTGAACTTGACCTTGGGCTTCATTACCTTGCGCAAGTAGTCTTTTACGCAGTCGTTAATTTCAATTAGGTAAATTGCCTCGTCAAATCCTTCTAGCATTCCGAGTCCTTCCATCCGACAGGAAAATATTTTCCCGACAAAGGAAAAAATTTTCCGGACAAAGGGAAAAATTTTTCCGACAGGAAAAAATTTTCCTGTTGTTCGTCCGTAAACCATTCAAATTTTCGAAAATTGAGAACTTTTTGGTCGAACGACAGAAAAATTTTTCCTTCCGACAGGAAAAAATTTTCCCGACAACTGGAAAAATTTTCCTTCCGACAGGACACAAACGGATGACTGACGTTCCTCTTCCTGAATGCCTTCCAAAGCCAGAAGTACCGAAAGCTGCAGAACCTAAAGCACCAGCCCCTGCACCTCAGTTCCAGCAAGTACCTCCACCAAATTACTACCAATTTCCACCTCAATGTTACTACCCACACAAGGCTTCCCGAACTACCCTCCTCCTCAGCCTATGCCTTACTTCCCCAACCCTTGGATGTTCCAGCAAGCTCCACCCCAGCAATTCCAATCTCAGCAAGCTCCACCCCAGCAAGCTCCATCCCAGCAAGCTCCACCCCAGCAAGCTCCACCCCAGCATTTCCAATTCCAATCTCAATCGAAGAGAGACCAAGACTTCGAAGAAGGTCTGAACCGCTTACGCAAAGAGTATGCTACAGCTCCAATGGAAGACAGGCTTTCAGTCTCTTCCCTCAAATCGACCGATTCGACTCGTACCACAGATTCGGTTCGTGACCGTGAAGACTACCTCAAGCAGTCTGAGAGACTCTTCATCCTACAATCATTTACAGTTGGAGCTCTCAAGAACATGCGCAATTACGAAGGTCAGACACCAGCTGGAGACCGCAAAACAGACGTACTCGCAAGAGCCGTCCAGCTCGTCAAACAAAGACTGAGATAGTCGACTTCATTCTTGCAGCTTGCCCATACAAGTAAAAAAAATAAACAATTACGAGTTAAACTTTTTATTCTTTCTTTTCTGAGTTGTTTAGAGCTGGTTTCTCTTGTAGGAGCCTTTCGTACTCTTCCATGGTCATGTAATTGCGAATTTGGTACGCAATTCCAGGTTCGTTGTTTTTGAACCTTACGTATGTAACGCTTCCATCCTCCTCAGGGAAGTAAGCTGCTAACATCTGACCAAGTTTTCTCGGTGACTCGGAGCTCATTAAAAATGTCACTTTTTAAACGTTAAGTTTTTAGTCTTATTTTACCCTTTGTTTACCCTTTGTTTGTCAAGGTAGTATTGGAGTGCAATTTCTCCAAATTCTCTGTGTCGGAGTTCTTCAGCATTTTCCAAGGTGTACCTGGAGAACTCAAAGAAGTTGTCAAGAAGATACTGCCATGCTGCTCTTCTGAGTTCGTCGGTATTTTGGAAGTGTTGCACCTTCGAGTCTTCGGACATGAAAAAATGACACTTTTTCATTATATAACTGTTATTTTTTTACGAAGAGAACTTTTGCACTTCGTAAAAAAATCCCTGAAATCGTGAAAAAATGACACTTTTTCATTATATAACTGTTATTTTTTTACGAAGAGAACTTTGACACTTCGTCAAAAAAATCCCTAAAATCATATCTTTTATACAAAAAAATGAAGAATAACTTTCACTTTTTCTATTAAACCGTTTTGGCATTTCTCATGAGTGAGTATAGTTCTGCCGAACCATTGGAAGAGAAGAAGTACCCTTGCTGGCAAAAGACAAAAATAGTTGCCTTAGTTGTCATTGCAATTGTACTCGTAATTGAATTCATTGTACTTCTCTTCACGTACATAAAACTCAGCAATGGTATTTGCTTTAAGAAGCTACCATCTTACTAAGACTAAACACTTACATTTTTCAAGCTTGACTTTTTACAATTTGAACTTTGTTTGCGTAGATATGAATTCTGAAAGAAGTATGAGGGTCTTGTATGACTTTGTACTTCTCCCATAGTTCATGTCTGTCAAACTTACCTGCCATGGACTCTTTCATAAGTTCCATGAAATCGTCTTCGGACAATCCGGGGAAAAGTATAATGTCAGTAAGTATTCTCTTTTAATCCTTACTTAAACTCTTTGCTGTCTGTACACAAATGACAACTGAGATGTTAAAGTGTCTGAGCTTCTTAAGAATTCGACACATATCTTGTTCTCTATTCTTTAACAAAGGATGAGAAGCAAAGTCATCTAAGATAAGAAGACATCTATGAGGGTATGTCTTCCAATCGTAAGATTGCAATTTCTTCGAAATGTATTCTATCTCTTTCTGTTTGTTTCTGAAGTGTTTCTTCTCTAATATTCTCTGCATTTCCTCATTTGGGTCTTTAAACTTCGAATTGACATACTCATTTATAGCATTATACTTCAAAACTCTTCTTTGGTACTTCTTTATCCAATCTAACAACTCAGTATCCTTTATACATACTAACTTAGACTTCTTTATAATATCTTTGAACGAATTGACGGTTTGGTCAAATTGACCAGAAGTACTACAAATAACAACTAACTCATAGAATGGGTTCTTCTCATCTAGTTCTTGTTGTTGTGCAGCCATTTTAAGATAAGTGAAAGTCTTACCCGACCCAGGTGGTGCAATTAGACCTGTTATACCATTCTGAGCAAATAAGAACTTGTCATGTATAGGTTTTATCTGAGCATTTTCTAACTTCCTCTTGTTCTTGTTTAAAACATTCTCAAATTTCTTGTCAATGTCAGCAAACTTTTTTTCTAACATATTTTTAGAAAAATTAAAATTTTTATCTTTTAGAAAATGTCTAGCGATTTCGCTATCTATATTCGAGACAAACTTTTTGACAGCAAAACATCTGTCGACCATAAAATCTTACATAGTGTAAACAAGAAAGGTGAATTTGTTCTAAAGTTCTGTTTCTGGGAATATGACAAGAACCATAAAACATTAAGCAGAGCAGTCTTAAAATTTGTCAATGACAGACTTGTTGACAGAGATGACAGCCTCTGGAAGATGAAGTCCAACAAAAGTTCTTCGAATGCAAAGAAGACACATGCGCTGTTCTTGAAGATGAAATAGAAAACAGAATAGATGAGCTATTAAAGGACAAAGAACTTTTACATAAATATGGTTCGGAGAAATTTGACATAACTCCACCAGAAAAGAAGAAGAAAGGAAAGAAAGAGAAAAAAGTAGAAGAGAAGAAAGAACCTGAACCAGAGCCAGTTCCAGAGAAAAAGAAATTTGACATGTAAAAATAAAATTTTATTTTTAGAACATTTCTGGGTCAATGTCAATGTTCTCTTCCTCTTTAGGAGCAAACACTGGCTTAGACTCTAAAATCTTTTTACCCAATTTACCTTGAACTTCAACTATCTTAGACTCATAATATTCATAGTCGTCTGCTTTCTTTGGTTCATAAGGTATAACAAGTTTGTATGCTTTGCCTTCTTTAAGGTTTGAGAACCTTCTGTCAAAACTTTCTTTGACTGTTAACAAACCTTCTATCTCTAAGTCTTCAAATTTCGCACCATTTTTAGTCACAATAGCAAACTTAACTGGTTCGATGTTCCAAACTTTGCTGAATGAAGACTTTTCAAAATGGTAGAAGTAAACATTCAAATATGTGAATGGGTCTAGTTCTTCTTTAAGTCCTGACATGTACTTGTTTACTGAGATGAATTTTGCATCTTTTCTATCGGATAAAAAAATATTTTTTTTTTTAAATTTACTCAGAAAATTATTTCTTTCTATATTTGCCATTCCGAACTTCGAAAAGATGTTTTATACCAGCATAGAATTTTTCTCTAGAGCTTGGTCTTATATCGTTTTCATGACAATATTTTCTATATTCTTCATATAAAGCCTTTTTTTCATACATTTCATAAGGACATCTAACCAGAATAGCGCATATCCATTTTCGTTATCTAGGTCTCTATATGTTTCTTCTGTTTGTAGAATTTCGCTTTCTCTATTTAGTTCTATGTCTATATATTGTGGCTTAAAAAGATGTGGGCAAGAAGGGTCTGGCGCTATGTAAAAAGTTAATTTTTCTGTCATCTTTTCTATCGGATAAAAAAATATTTTTTTTAAAATTTACTCAGAAAAATTTTTCTTTGTATATACACCATTCTGAACATTAAAAGACTTTTGACATTTGCCAAGAATGTTCGTTTAGACGCTGTCATATAACCATACTCTTGACAATATTGTTTATACGAGTCGTACAATGACCTTTCATCTAAACACTCAAAGTCAGTTTCATCTAATGAACAGTTCATATACACTCTTGTTTGCTTCTAACAATGTTTGTCTCTCTTCGGTATGTGGAATTTGTCTTGGATTGAACTTAGAAATATCTAATGTCATGAAATATGAGAACAAGTGGTTGTAAAAGTCAGATGTCAAAGTTTCTGCTAAGTCGTCAAAATATTCTGTATCTTGCATATGAGAATCTGACGTTCTGACAACTACATATCTTCTGTCAGAACTTTCTAATTTCATCGGAACAGCATTGTTTGAAACCATAATGAAATTTGCAACATTTTCACAAACTCTTTGGTCTTTATATTTTCTTTCAACAACTCCAACTTTGTCTGTTATAAGACTCTTCAAAGCATCTGAGTTTAAAACTTTTGTTGTATCTATACTTTGAAGTTCGTTACATACTATAAGTTTCATATTCTCTATTGAAGAGTTAAATTTACCGCAGATGTTTTCTAAGTTTGTCATATTCGGTTCGAATAACCTTCTAACAGTTTGCACAAAATATCTGTAAAGAATGTGTTCTTACCTGTTCCTTGTTTTCCAATTATAATGAGAGCAGTTTCATTTTTAGCACTTGGATGTTGTAAGATGTTTGCAAACCAACATAAGATATACTCATAGACTCTTTTGTTTCCATTGCATATAATTTCTTTGACATGGTCTAACCAAGCTTCTATAATATTTTCTTTCCATTCTACTTGTTCGTATTTATATCCAGTGAAGATAGAATAGAAGTTTGGAGAAGGTGTATAGAACTTTATACCTCGAACTGAAAAATCTTCTAACTTTGACAATAAGATATCCCAAGCATCTAACATCTTCATGCCAACTTGTACGACTTTTATTTTCTGAAGTTTCTGTCTACATTCTTGTTCTGAAACTATTGTTGCTCTTGGTTTGTTAAAGACTACATCCCATTCTTTCATAACATAACATTCTGGGGCAGAGTCGACATAAATGACTAAACGTTTCAAATTCTCGACTGCTTTGTTATAGTCTCTAAATGGACACATATTTCTGAATGCTTGGAAGTCATAAAAATCTGAAACATCTATTCTGTACATTTTTATAAAAATAAAAAAAAATATTTTTTTTATTCTTGACTTTGTTGTTCTTGAGCTATTTGTTGCATTTGTTGTTCTTGAGCTATTTGTTGTTGAAGTTGTTCTTGTAATACAATACTTTCACCAGTTGCATCTTCCAATTCGAAACTTTCTGCCGTCATTGACAAATACATAGGACATAAAAGTTTTACAGGAACAAAGTTTGCGTCAACTAAGGTTAAGTTTATGTTTGCTAAAGTGTTTGAGTTCACTAAGGTTGAAAATTCTGCATTCGAATGAACAATAGGCAAACCAGCAGAGAAAGTGTTGTTTATACGCATAAGTATCTTTTGGTCATAGTAGTTTCTGTCGACATTCGAATAGCACTTTGAACCTAAGTTTGAAACAATATATAAAATAGGTGTACTTAAAGTCAATGGAACAGACATTCCTTGTATGACACCTTTTCCTGTTATAGGAAACTGTTGGTAGTAAAAACCAGATATAAGTTTTGTATTATAGCTCATATTGTTTATAGTAAACTCAGTCGGACATCCAAACATAATGAAACCTGCTCTAGTTGCAGCACATGTTACACTCGTCCTTAAAGTATTAAATAAGTCAACAAAACCTGTTGGTGGTATATCTGAGTAAGTATCTTCAAAGGAGTATTTTTTACCATTCACAACAATAAAATCTTCTGGTGTCAAAAGAGCAAAACAAGCTTTAGTCGTCATTGTGTTTAAGTTAGTTTACAATATCGTCCTTGAGGACTTTGTAAGTTTGTTGTTATAGAATTATATGACTCAGGGTTTTTAGTCGTAATAGTATAAACCATTATGTCTTCTGCCATTTACTTAGCAAATAAATTTTAATGAAATGTTGTGGTCGTCAAATATTTTTATAACGTCTGGGAAACTATATTTTAAGTTCAACGTTTCACCTCCTTTCATAACGTATATCTTGTCAATGACATTATATGAAACACCACAGCAACTAACGTCGGGTTCTATTTCTTTGATGTTTATATCGTCTGCCTCTGTCAAAAGTTTCAATAGTTCTTTCAAAACTTCATGAGGTGCAATGACATATGAGTTCACTTTTACAGGGTTGTGTTCGACCAAGTTTAACATTATACCTAAAGCTTGACAAATCTTCTCCTGAGTTTGAAGTTTGTCTTTCAGTTGTTGGTAGTCGTTTCGAATATCTGCAACAGAACTTAAGTCTCTGCTAACTTCAGGGTATGTTGGTTGTTCTTTTACAGGAACAATTGTTATACCATCTTCGTCTTCGTATGGTTTCCCCACTTCAACATCTCTTTCTTTGACATTGACAATAACACTTTGACTGTTTGTTTGAGTTGGTGAATTTAACTTCACATCTGCCACCGCCATTAAACCTTTTGAAACACTTACGCTTCTATTTTTCGGAAATGACATTTTACTTAGAATAAAAAGATGGACGTATTCGGATATCTCTTCGAATTGAAGCAGAACAAAGTTTACACACACAAACAATACAAATACATTGACAGAATAGTTCTTTATACAAACAATGGAAAATGTTATAGAATAGCAGTCTTTGCTGAACCAAAATATTTTCATAAAGCAAAGAAAGTTGGTATAACTGAAATGGTGAAAGTTCTTGAAGCAGACAAAAATATAACAACAAAACTTACAGATATTTCTAAAGGAAAGTTTATAATACAATTTTATGTCAAAACTGGCGTACTGTCAATATTTGACGGAGAGAAGTCAGTTCAAGAACAACTTACTGACCTGCTGCCAAAATCTGCTCGATGGAAGCTGTCGTTATGCCAATCTGAGGAGCCCCAGCAGGTTTCATCGAACGAATCTTCAAAAGAGCATCTTCCGTGAAAAGTGCTATTGGTTTTGTAAACTTCTTTGCTCTCAGTTCATATGGACCGTCTCTGTCACCAGTATATTGTATTTGTACAGTACCAACAGTTGAAATACCACCCATAAAGTCTTCTGAGTCAGCAAATGGAATGCCAAGCCAAAAGTTTGAACGGTCTCCATTTGTATATTGAGTTTTTTGACTTCCTGTATGGGTCCATACTTTCACATATGGCATAATAGAACTTTGCATTTCAGGGTTAATGGTTGTTGTGAAGTTGTTGTTAAAGTTCATAGCATCTAATGTCAAGTTGTATGACCTCATATCCTCAACTGTAGAATATTCTTCTCTTGGATAATATTTGCCATCTATGTTTATATGATATTTAATACCGGGGTTGTAGAAACAAGAATAGTCATTTATAGTTCGTCTGAACAGTACAAACATAGTATCTGCGTGTTTCATTGCAGTTGTTAAAGCAATATCTGTTCTTGCACCTGCGGTTCCTGGATTTTGGTTTCCAACTTCACCTGCAAAGTCTTTGACAGATATTTGGTGTATAGGGAACATAAGTGGAACTGCAATATATTTGGCAGCTAAAGCATTTGAAATATCTGGGTCCAACATATAGACTGCAAGTCTGCTTTCTATTCTCTTGCATTCAAACTGTTCGCATGTAAACCTAACTGGGTCCCAAGCAGTTCCAGCAGCATTGAAATAATACTTTACTTCAGTGTTGAGGTTTGAGAAACCAAAGTCTAAGTCAACTTTGTCTTTGCAAAATTCGGCGAATGACGTTTGATTTGCTCCCTTTACGTCTGTAAGAGTGAATGGGTCTTTGTTGGTGCAATGACTAAGTTATTTTTGCTTGGAGTAAGTTCAATAGAAATTTTTCCTGCCCAGTTTGGCAAGTATCTTAAAAACCTGAAGATGAGGAAAGATGACAAAGGAACTCTAAGTTTCAGTTTTACTTTAGTGACAGCATTTCCATCTGAACCAGAAAGGTTAACATAAACTCCTGGAACGTTAGGGTCAAGTCTTCTTATTTTCTCAATAGTTGCATACTGGTCTGTTTGTTCTCTAGCTTGTGGTTGTACTGAGTTTCTTCAAAGCGAACCATTCATAGTTTGCCCATGTTACTGTTTGAACTAAGTCAGAGTTAGAATATATCTTATATCCCATGAAAACTTCTGGAGCATATTGGTATCCGACATAGAAAATACCATTGCAACCTTTCTTGTCAGACAGCAGAAGGTTTTATTTCAATGTCTTGTTCCACGTATAAGAATGAGTTGTCAATAGAAATTATATGAAACCTGTCGCAAGCAATATCTACTGTTGTTGAAGAACCTTCTCCAAACTCACCTACGTTTCCATAAGAAACAGCAGTTGTATATTCGTAAGTTCCAGGAACTATTTCTGACCTTCTAATGGCATTGTCGCATTCGTTATACCATTCGGAAACATTTCCATTCATGGCATCCAAAACTGTTGGCGTTATATTCTGAGCGGCGTACATTTCATATGGGTAAAAATATAGAATAGTTGAATTTATGTGTCATAATAGAACCCACTCGTACCAAGCTTTACTTTCTTCCTGACTGAGTTTTTAACTCTTCTTTTTCCTTCATTGCCACTACTTTCACTAGATGAAGTTACTTCTTCACTATTTTCACTTTGTTCTACTCTTCTCTTCTTTTTTGGTAACTTGCCCTCTGCTTCAAGTTGTTGCATCTTTGCCTCATGTTCACCTAGTATGTTGTAAATTTCCCATGTCCTTTTTGCCTTTGGGCTCTGGTCGCCCATCTCAGGTAACCTATATCCTAGAAAGATTTCGTCATAGTTTGTATTTGAGTCTTCGCGTATTGTTTGCATGACTCTTTCCTGAGTTTCCGGTTCAAGCTCTTCAAATATAGCTTGTCCATATGGAATAAGCTCGTTTCCAAATATATGTTTTTGTAGCCATTCTGGTTTTCTTTCCATGTTACCAACAATATCTTTTGTGAATGGGAAAGCTTTTACCCAACGTTTCAGTCTTGCGTCATTTATTTCTGTAGTTGGTTTTATTTTGTCAAGGAACATGTTTTTCAATACTAACATTTCATTTGGTACTGTCCATTTGAGTTTTCTTAAATATTCATCCCTTCTTTCATTGTCTGCAAAGTAAGTTTTTATGACATTTTGTAAACTTTCGTTTGCAAGGTCATGTACAATAGGTTCTCTTCCTTCTTCTCCCTAACTCTCTTTCTAAACTCTTCACCAAATATACCATCTCTATGGTTCTGTGTAGTTCTTTGAGATAAATGTTCTAGAACGTCAGGTGTTATATTTCCATCAGCCATGTTCATTTCATACTGGTCAAAATATCTGCATCTTTCATATCTTTCAATGGCATTAAAGCCGCGCTGAAAATACCAGCTAAATCTGGTTCACCATTCACTTCCATTGCGTCTACAACTTCTTGGAATTGTGGTTGTAAGTTTATGAACCACCTATCCGGGTTAGCTTTATGACCCCATCTCATTGTAGTTCCATAGTCTGCAGAAACAAAAGTAGGTTTGTTTCCATATTGGTTAGGTTCTGAATGAACTTTAAACAATGTTTCATTTCTATATGTTTTGTTGAAATTTAACCTTTTATTTTCACCGAGTTCATCCAAAGATTGAACGTTATATGCTCGTAAGTAAAAAGGGTTGTTGTATTTGTGTACATTTTCTTTCAGTACTTCCATTCTATGCTGAATATTTTCATCTGGTGTTGGAGTCTTTTGTATGTCGGCAAACATTTTTCGATATTCTTCTACCATGTCAGCCGAATTTTTCTTAGACTCTTGGAAAGATTCCATATTCACCTCATACTCTTGTTGAGGGTCAAGATTTTTCGGATGTTCCAAATCTTCATCTAGTTCTGTGAAGTTAGTTTCCAAAGGAGGGACTTGTTCGTTTCCTTCAGGCTCTTCTAGCTGTTGTTGCTGAACTATTTCTTCCATGTCTGGTTGTATCTGAACTTCTTCCTGTGGAGTTTCTTGTACCTCATCTGCTGGCATTTCATATATTCCGAGACCGTTTTTAACAAGTTCCCTATCTAAGTCATCCGGACTCATAAACCTTTCTTCTTTCGTTCCGTCTCTATTTTTTACGCGTTTCATGAAGAGAGTTGAATTGTCATTTAGCTCTGACACCAAATATCTCGGAGTAAATTCAGTCATGTCATTTGGATGATATGCTATTAAATCATATCCCTTAGCGAGCTTGTATTTTCCAGGTTTGAAATTATATCCCATTTGGTGCTGAACCATAAAGCTAAATAGGTTCGGGTCAGTATTTCCTTCCTTGAACTTTCTAATAGCTTCTTTATATCTGTCACTAAAGTCAAGAGTATCTGGGTAACCATAGTCTTCTTTAAGCATTTTTAAGAAATCTTGGTTTCCTTGTTCTCTACTTCTTTTATGTCCTTGCTCTGTTTGTGGTTGTTGTTGTGCAGGGTTTTGAACTGTTGGTTGCTGTGCTGGTTGTGGAGGTGGTTGTTGTGCTGGTTGTTGTTGTGGTGCTGGATTTTGAACTGTTGGTTGTTGTGTTGGTTTTGGTGCATG